CGTGGATTTTATTAAGAATATTTTTTCAAGGCCTATATAAGGCGTGGATTTTATTAAGAATATTTTTTCAAGGCCTATATAAGGCGTGGATTTTATTAAGAATATTTTTTCAAGGCCTATATAAGGCGTGGATTTTATTAAGAATATTTTTTCAAGGCCTATATAAGGCGTGGATTTTATTGAGAATATTTGTTTATACCCTACACAACTATGTTTGAGTTTGTAACGCCGCGAAATATTGGACCTAGACCCACCGATCGTCATATATCGAATTGCTAAGTCGATCCAGACATGTGTGTCCGTCCGTTTGTCCATTATAATTTGTAAACACGATTCAGGCCACAGTTATGGACCAATCTTCAAGAAATTTTGCATGTGGGATGGGTTATGCCCAATGAAAACCTTATTGTTTTTGGTAAAGATCGGTTAATATTTAGGGGTTAAAAATGGACCAAATACTTAATTTTTGTCGTGTTCTCTGCTCGCTCCAGAGGCCGCAATTATGGCCAAAATTTTACATGGAGAAGGGGATCGGGCCAAAGAATAAGCATGCCTGTTTTGATAAAGATCGGTCAATATTTAGCGGATCAAATCGACCCTGACTTTTGTGTGAAAAATTAAAAATGTTGTATTCTATGGCGTATACATTCAGTCCTGAAGGTCCCGAGGATGTGGGAGTTAATCGTAAATCTTTACATATGCTTACCATCTTCGCATATTATTTTGTAACCCATTACTACACTGGAGTGCGGAAATATAGTGCTTATCGCTTTGAAATTTTCCATGAGGTTCCAGTTATGGTCCAGAACAACGCCTATATTTTCGGTGATTATCAGATAATAATTTTGATTTTTTCGAGTCGATTATAGGCAACACTTATAAGCCGAACATTACAACACAACCCATGGTAAAGGGAATCTGGACAAGTATAGAAGGACAGTACTGAATATTAATAATATTCTGAAAATATGTCAGTGTAAGGGCGTGGATCTTTTAAAGATTATTTTTTCAAGGTCTTTACAGGGCGTGAATTTTCTTAAAGGTATATACAAGGCGTGGAGTTTTTAAAGAATTTTCTTTAAGGCCTATAAAAAGCGTGGATTTTTTAAATAATTTTCTTTAAGGCCTATACTGCGGTTGGATTTTTAAAGAGTATTTTTTCAATGCTATGCTAAGTGTGGACTTTTTAAGAATATTTTTTAGGCCTGTAAAGGAGGTGATATTTTGAGAAAAAGTCTATTGCAAGAATATAAGAATATTTTTTAAGAGCTATAAAAGTGGTGAATTATTTTGTACAATATTTTGTATAATGCAAAGCATGGATTTTTTAAAGGTTTTTTCAAGGTCTATATAAGACTTGGACTTGTTAAAGATTTTTTTCAAGGCCTATACAAAGCATGGATTTTTTAAAAAAATTTAGAATAGAATATTAGAGAATTTTTTATGGTCTATACAGGTTGTGGATTTTTAAACATATTATCTTCAGGGGTGTAGGCCTATTCATGTCGTCTTGGGGTTTTTATTGCAAACATTTTGATCAACACTTCATTCATATATAGAATGTGATTAATGTTAAAATAGAAGAGCCTTAAATAGAACCGTCGTCAGCGATACACTTGTATCTGTGGTTAGATATTGTGGTATTTATAAATAACAAATAACAACAACTGAATATTCTTCATTCGATATGAGTATTCAAATCGATTAATACACTTGCTTATTTAGTCTGCCGTAATTATTAAAAAAAAAAATAAAATAAAATAAAATAATAAAATGAAATTATTCAAATTAATAAGTTTGTGTTTTATATTTGGAGCAACTGCTGCCCAGAGTAACATTGGAAAAATTTTCCGAAAAGTATCACATTCGAATAAAACGACCATGTTTGCAACATATTGCTTGGTCGAGTATTTCGAAATCGTTTATAAACAGGAAAATGGTGAATTACAAAAGAAACCCAACAAATGGCCCCGGGCGTATACTGGAACCGTAGTGAAGCCAATTGAATTATGTTTACTATCTGACGGTATACCTTTAATGAGAAAATGTCAATATAATTCGGACACATCTGCGGCGGAATGGGAGGACATGGATTACAATGATTATCAATGTATTGGTTATACAAATAAGGAAAATTCAATGACATTTGAATTACATAAAATATATAAAGACATTAAAAGCTATTCGACGGGTAGAAGTTTTACGGAACCCACTACTAGAATATATAACTATTTAATGAAACACCCCATACACACAGTTGCCGATTTGGAAATATCGCTAAGTCTGTTGCAGGTATTGACAAGGTCACGCGATATCAATGTGCTACCAACAATTTTGGAAATTGCAAATGTTCTCTTGCAAACTGACGAAGAGGTCATTTTCAAATTTAATCAATTAAGTATTACCACTACTTCCAATTTATTGACCACATTGGAAACTTATCTCAATCCAATGGCCAAATCTGCAATTCCCCCACGAAGATGTGACATGAATTTTTCCGATATTAAACGCTTCGATACAGAAAACATAAAGGTATTCTTTATACGTCCCATGTGTTCCAATATATCCGGTATTGTGGTATCTACAAGTGAAGCAGGACCGCGATTAAATGAAACGTCCCAATTAAATTATGATCTGCAGTATTTCTATGTGAATCAGTCAATAAACGATGTTTTATCTCAATCGAATTTTGAACTGGTTGCATATGTACCCCAGAAATTGTGGAATTTAGTGAAATGGGGGATGTATCGTTTGAAATTTTCTTGGTATAAAAATTCAAATTATTTTCTAGATCCTAGTGAGAAGAGATATAATGTGTCTGGAAGTGCTTTACTGGTTGCTGTACCTGGTCTTAAAGGTAAGTTTCAAAAGAATATATTTTCAATGAGTATACAAAGCGTAGATTTTTTAAAGAATATTTTTTCAAGGACCATCTACAAGGCGAGGATTTTTTAAAGAATATTTTTTCAAGTACCATCTATAAGGCGTGGATTTTTTAAAGAATATTTTTTCAAGGACCATCTATAAGGCGTGGATTTTTTAAAGAATATATTTTCAAGGACCATCTATAAGGCGTGGATTTTTTAAAGAATATTTTTTCAAGGACCAAAACAAGGCGTGGATTTTTTAAAGAATATTTTTTCAAGGACCATCTATAAGGCGTGGATTTTTTAAAGAATATTTTTTCAAGGACCATCTATAAGGCGTGGATTTTTTAAAGAATATTTTTTCAAGGACCATCTATAAGGCGTGGATTTTTTAAAGAATATTTTTTCAAGGACCATCTATAAGGCGTGGATTTTTTAAAGAATATTTTTTCAAGGACCATCTATAAGGCGTGGATTTTTTAAAGAATATTTTTTCAAGGACCATCTATAAGGCGTGGATTTTTTAAAGAATATTTTTTCAAGGATCATCTATAAGGCTTGGATTTTTTAAAGAATATTTTTTCAAGGACCATCTATAAGGCGTGGATTTTTTAAAGAATATTTTTTCAAGGACCATCTATAAGGCGTGGATTTTTTAAAGAATATTTTTTCAAGGACCATCTATAAGGCGTGGATTTTTTAAAGAATATTTTTTCAAGGACCATCTATAAGGCGTGGATTTTTTAAAGAATATTTTTTCAAGGACCATCTATAAGGCGTGGATTTTTTAAAGAATATTTTTTCAAGGACCATCTATAAGGCGTGGATTTTTTAAAGAATATTTTTTCAAGGACCATCTATAAGGCGTGGATTTTTTAAAGAATATTTTTTCAAGGCCTATACAGAGCGTGGACTTTTTAAAAAAGTGGCGTGGACTTTTTAAAAAATATTTTTTAAAGCCTATACAGAGCGTGGACTTTTTTGAAGAATAATTTTTCAAGACGCATACAAGGCGTGGACTTTTTAAAATATATTTTTTAAGGCATATACAAGGCGTGCACTTTTTAAAGAATATTTTTTCAAGGCCTATACAAGGCGCGGAATTTTTAAACAATATTTTTTCAAGACCTATACAAGGCGCGGATTTTTTAAAGAATATTTTTCAAGGCCTATACAAGGCGCGAAATTTTAAAGAATATTTTTTTAAGGAATATTTTTTCTAGGCCTATACAAGGACTTCACCAAAATTATTTTTTCAAGGTCTATGTCATCTGGGTGTTACAAGGCATGGATTTGAAGAAGAATAATTTTAAAAAGACTATATAAGGCGCGGATTTTTTAAACAATCTTTGTTTAAGGCGTGTATTTTTTAAAGAACTATATAATGAAAATTAATATATCTACTTTATTATTTTTTTCAGAATTTCAACCAAAATATATACCAGCGGATATGGTGGATAACAATACAAGTGAACCCATACAATGTTTTCAGTGGAATCAAAAAATTTGGGAAAAGTCAAGTGATATATCAGAAAAATCCAGTTATCTACAACTTTGTCGACGAATAAGAAAACCAGTACAGGAGAATCAACAGGCTACATTGACATCCACATCACATACAACACGTTTCATACGTTCCATCGTCAGTTGCATTTTGTCACTGTTCGGCTTGTTCTGTATACTTTTAACAGCGATTTTCTTTGAACATTGGCGTCATCAATTCTCCAATAAGCTGCTACTCAACATTTGTGTCATTCTATTACTGGTCACCACTTACTTTATGCTACTGAATATGCCGAATGTTCGTTCGGCAATAGAGAACACCGAACATCCTCGTCGCTGTATTGCGGTGGGTGCCTTTTACCAATACTCCATATTGGTGATATTCTTGTGGATGTTGGTTATAGCCTTGCTGCAGTACAAACGTTATGTCTGCGTCTTTGCAGCCAAATTGGCGCGCCATAATAGTGTATTTTACGCTTTAGCGGCCTGGTGTCTGCCGTTAGTACCCACCATACTGGTGGTATGCCTGGATTCACAATCGTACACCCGATATTTGAGTAATGCCGATGGAAATCATTATCTTTGTCATCCGACTGGATTGAGTTGGATTTTTGGTCTACTGCTGCCAGCTGCTGGCATTATGTTGACGTGCTTTGCCATTTTCGGCTACATCCTGTGGAATATAAGACGTGCTTCGAAAAGATTTCACCTTACATGGGAGCGGGCAGATGTCATTGAACATGTTCGCCGTTCGATTATATTGATTTCGGTCTTGAGTGCTTCATGGATTTTCGGACTGTTCGGACACATGGAAACATATACATTTTTTGAAGTTCTATTTTGTTTCACATCAACGCTGCAGGGTTTCTTCTTGTTTATCTATTTTGTGGTAATGGATAAATCGGCTCGTTCGCAATGGCAGGTGTATTTATGTAATAAACGTGTGAATTAACAATATATATAGATTATAAAATAATTATGCAGAATATATGAAATAAAAAAAATAATAAAGAAATGTAAAACATTAAAAAAAACAGTTTCCATCAAGGACTCAATGTGGCGTCAATGTTTTAATAAATACTTTTCAATTACTACATAAAGCATTTCCAAGGCGTGTATAAGAGTTGCATTTTTTAAAAGATATTCTTCAAGGCTCATATGAGCCGTTGATTTGTTAAAAAATATTTTTAAGTCCTATTAGCGGGTGTATTTAAAAAAAAAAAAAATTTCAAGCGTAGATTTATCAAAAAAATTGTTTTTCAAGGCCCATTTTAGGCTTGGATTTTTATAGCCTACACATCTATGTTGTCAGTGTATTATAGCAGCCCCGAGAGTTTGCAAAGCTGCGAAATATTGGTCCAAAACCACCTTTAAAATATACCGATCGTCATATCTCGACTAGCTGAATCGATCTAGACATGTGTGTGCGTCCGTCTGTCCATTATAATTTGTAAACACGACACAGGCCACAGTTATGGACCAATCTACACGAAATTTTGCATGTAGCATAGGTTCGGCCCAATGAAGACCCCAATTGTTTTTGGTAAAGATCGGTTAATATTTAGGAGATGAAATGGACCAAATATTTAATTTTTGTCGGTTTTTCTGGTCGCTGCAGAGGTCGCAATTATGGCCCAAACATCGCAAATTTTAACATGGAGAAGGGGATTGGGCCAAAGAATAACCATGGCTGTTTTAATAATGATCGGTCAATATTTAGCTGGTCGAATGGACTCTGACTTTTGTGTGAAAAATTACAAAATTTTTATTCTATTGGGAATATATTTACTCCTGAAGGACGTAGACCCGAGAAGTTGATAGTATCTCCAAGAGGACTGGTTGGCTTTTAAATTAATATCAATTATATTGTCGTATGTGTTGGGATATGAGAGTTACACTTAAATATTTACAGTTGCTTACGTATTCAGATATTATTTAGTAACCCATTACCACACTGGAGGGCAGAAATATAGCGCTGAATGGTTTGAAATGTTCCATGAGGATCTAGTTATGGTCAAGGACAACGCCTGTAATTTTCGCCGATGATCAGATAATTTTGGGATGAAGTGGACCGAAGTGGACCGAAAATTTAATTGTTTGTGTGTGTGTGTTTTTTTAGTCGATATTATATAGGCTTATCGGGCAGGAGGGTGCTACTATCACGAAATATTGTCCAGGCTCGGAATAAAAATCCGCCGAAAGTTAGAGTTTTGTGGTAGTTGTGTAGGGTATCGTATGGTCGTCCCCGTCCGACTATATACTACCCTCACTGGGTTTAATTAACATTTTTTTCAAAACGTATATGAGGCGTGGATTTTTTAAACGAATATTTTTTCAAGGCCCATATGAGACGTGGATTATTTAAAGAAGTTTTTTCGAGGCCTATATGAGTCGGGGATTTTTTTCAAGACGTATATGAGGCGTGGATTTTTTTTCAGGGCCCATACGAGGCGTGGATTTAAAAAAATATATTTTTTTCAAGGCCCATATGAGGCGTGATTTTTTAAACAATTTTTTTAGACCAATATGAGTCGTGGATTTTTTATTTAAAGAATATTTTTTCAATACCTATATGAGGGGTGGATTTTCAGGGTCCATATGAGGGGTGGATTTTTTCAAAAAAATATGTATTCAAGACCCATATGAGGCGTGGATTTTTTAAACAAAATTTTTTCAAGGGTCATATGGAGCGTGTATTTTTTAAGAAATATTAATCAAGGGCCATATGAGACACGGATTTTTTAAAAGAATATTATATTATAGTATAAGACGTGGGTTTTTTTTAAAGAATATGTTTTCAAGGACCATATGTGGCGTAGATTTTTTAAAGGCTACTTTTTTTACTCATATGAGGTGAGTGTTTTCTAAAGAATATTTTCTACAATTTTGTACCTCTACAAATAAAGTTTCAAAGAATATTTTTATACCCTACACAACTATGTTGTCAGGGTATTATAGCTTTGTGCAGCCCCAAAAGTTTGTAACGCCGCGAAATATTGGTCCTAGACCCACCTTTAAGTATACCGATCGTCATATCTCGACTAGCTGAGTTGATCTAGACATGTGTGTCCGTCCGTCCGTCTGTCCATTATAATTTGTAAACACGATACAGGCCACAGTTATGGACCAATCTTCACGAAATTTTGCGTGTAGGATGGGTTCTGGCCAATGAAGACCCCTATTGTTTTTGGAAAAGATCGGTTAATATTTAGGGGATGAAATGGACCAAAAACTAAATTTTTGTCTGATTTTCTGGTCGCTCCAGACGCCACAATTATGGCCCAAACACCGCGAATTTTTGCATGGAGAAGGGGATCGGGTCAAAGAATAAGCATGCCTGTTTTGATAAAGATCGGTCAATATTTAGCGGGTCAAATGGACCCTAACTTTTGTGTGAAAAATTACAAAATTTGTATTATATAGCGTATATATATACGACTGAAGGACATAGATCCGAGAAGTTGATAGTATATCCAAGAGGAGTGGTTGACCTTTAAATTGATACCAATTATGTTGTCGCAGGTACACGGATGCGGGAGTTACACTTAAATATTTACAGGTACTTACGTATTCATATATTATTTAGTAACCTATTACCACACTGGAGGGCGGAAATATAGCGCTGATCGCTTTGAAATGTTCCATGAGGTTCCAGTTATGGTCAAGGACAACGCCTAAAATGTTAGGTGATGATCAGATAATAACTTTTCGGATGAAGTGGACCGAAAATTTAATTTTTTGTACTTTTCGAGTCGAAAGCCGAACATCACAACACAACCCACGGCGAAGGGAATCTGTACAAGTAATTAGAGGGGCTGTACTGATTATTACAACCATTTGCTGACCTCTAGCCAGTCAAAAGTGTGCAAAGATCGCGAAATATTGCCAAATCTCAGAATATAGAACCACAAAAAGTTAGATTTTCATGGAAGTTGTGTAGGGTATCGTATGGTCGGCCCCGTCCGACTATACTGCTCCGCTCACTGGTTTTAAGGATATGAAAGGCAATAACAAAGCTAAAATATTAAAAGCTTTTATTTCTGTGAGTGTCCGAAGCTTTATTTAAATTTCTACTTCTTTCTACGGATATCAAGCGGATATCTATTTATTCCTTTCATCTATGTAGTTACGATACACACATTGAACAATTTTAATATCAGAACCTTTCATTAAAATTGGTAAGTATTGCCAAATATGGTATAGTATTGCCAATCCTGACACATTAAGGACATACACCCATGTGAGCTTTTCGGAAAAGTTCCGTTTATTGTTTTTACTCTCATTCAAAACGCCTCTCAGTCTCGGTGGCAATTCATACAACAAACACTTGACAATTGTCATAGGTCCTGTCAGCCTGGCAAAATTCAAACACACACACACACATCTAAAACAGCTGAGCCAACTTTTCCCCCGGCTGGGTAAACAGATGAAAAGCGCCATTTATATAAAACTATGCTAGTCGAACAAATCCTCAGTCATAGACGGTTCTTTGAAACGAACGGAAGTTAAAGCGGCAAATAAAAACGAAACAATCGGCAATAAAAGTGAAAACACCAATAAAGAAGAAAGAGGGAAATTATTCGACGGGTCCTTTGTATTCAGTTGGTGTCTGCCACCACTCATTCATTCAATACCACCAACATCCAGTGTAAACTAAAGAAAGACGAATCTACACATAAACACGGGCGCGATTGTATGTGTATCCGGGTATCAGTGTCTGTGTCGTTCGTTCGGTCGTTCATTCGCTCGTATTGGCGTTCTTGTGTTGTTCCTTGTTTTGTAGAAATCTATGTTAGTGGGTTTTTAAAACATTGTTCAGTGTAACGCAGCCAAAGAGAGTCTGTGTCAGAGTGTGTTTTGAAAAATAAAAACCAACAGCAACAACAAAAAATAAAAATATTTCACTTTCAGTTGGCTGCTGTCGTTTGTCGGTAAGAGATTGTGTTCGTTTTTACATATTAAGGTCCTTTTTTTGAATTGTGTGTGTTTGTGTGTGTGTTTGAAAGTCTTTGGCCGTGCGTGTGTATTTATGAGCCTTTAAAGTAATAAATTATACCAACCAACCAAGAAAAAAAGTGAATCGAAATAAAAGAAAAATGTCATCAAGAGAAGAATCTAAAGAAAGAAAAAAATTGTCATACGACTCCAGAGAAGTGCATGCATATCTGATATCTTGATGAATTCCGATAGTAAATAAAACACCAACAACGATAGCCCAATGGTCATAAAGCTTTTACAGGAAACAAAACCAAACGAATGTTGTATATCATGCCAATGGCTGGGTACGGCGGCAAGCCAAGTTGAATGATCTATTAAATGCCAAGGAAATTGTGGCTGTGTGAAATGTGTTCCAACAAAAAATCATAAAATAAAGTGAAATCGTGTTTTTAAGCGCCATTATTTTTTATCACAGTGAATGAGGCAAAAACCTATTTTAGTGTTTGTGTTATCGATAATCCCGCCCATATTCGCTACAAAGGAAGGCAAACAATACTAAATAGCGAACAAAAAATATATAAGGAAAATTAAAAACAAAAAGGCCTTACCGTTCGCATATTTTTCTTCTCTTTTAGTGTGAATGAAAAGTCTGGGGAAAACAAACACTTGTTGTAAATACACATATAGACTACACAAGGCATTGTAATATAGCTGCTACCACAAGCCCATAATAAAAAGTTAACTTTTTGCCTTACGAATCTTAGAATATTTAGGTTGAATTATTTTAAATAGATTTTTTTAAGATATTATTAGTATGTCAAAACGCATTCAATTGATGCGCATAAGCAAGACAAAATTTATTTAATTCAACAAATTTAACTGGTGAATAAAATATAAAGAGCTTCAACAATTTAAGTCTATAAAAGGCGCGGATATTTAAATAATATTATTTCCATAATCATTGTAAGACGTGGATTAAAAAAATGTTTTTCCAGAGTCTAGACATTAAAAAAC